GAAACGGAGTAGGCTACTCCGTTCCACTCATTTAAATACACAAACGGAGTAGCCAACTCCGTTCCAATTATTTAATTAGGAAACGGAGTAGCCAACTCCGTTCATTGTTTTTTTTAAATTTTTTTTTAAAATGAAGTATTTACTTTATTTCCTATATTTAAAAAAACATAAAAAATTATAAAAATCAACAAATTATTGAAATATAATGAAACAAAGAATCTACTAACAATAAAATTCATAGTTAAAATAAATATTTATTGACTTTAAATAATGCACCATACACCGAATTAAAAATAAGAAGTAAATTACAACAAATTTATTGATAGAGTACATAAAATTTATCTATAAAATTAAAGATACAAAACACATGCCATCACTAATTTATTTGTGAAAATCATAAAACATAAACTTGGATATTTGAAGCTTTCTGATTAATTTGTTGTCGTAATACCATGTCGTAACACCGTGAAAAAATAAGTTATCAAACCAAATATTTCAACATAAACAAATATCTCAACAAATGCTTTTGAATCTCAAAACATTAAGTACCCAGCACAATATATTAAATGTAAAAAAAACTACTAAAGATAGTGGCTACCAGTACCACAACGTGGACGACGTCGATTACGCCGTGGTCCCTGTATGCTCGTATGGAGTGCGTGGTACAATCTGACCATCGATGGTAACACACCCATCTGCAAGCGAATGATTATGCACAACCATGAATGAAATGTAGAATATGATTTTATAATATACATAAATAAACTACAAATACCTGACTTCATATGAGACATCTACTAGCTGATCCAATGGTATAACCCCTCTAGGTCTAGTCATAGGCAGGCGCTCCCAAGCCCAAAGCTGTAACAAGACTAGACAACCTCCAATCTGTGCTGCACTCGTCGCACTAGCACGACACATACTGCGATACAAGTAACTGAGTACTGCCGAACCAATCGCACGACCTCGCACAGTGTTTGCGTCACCCATGATTATCTCTAAAAGATACAAACTAACCTTATTTCCCGTCGTGTTGGGAA